CCCTCATAAAACCAATAAGTCATAGTGCATTCGAAAGTACAGATGATGGGCTATCTAACTATGTATAAATCTCCAAAATGATATTTTTGACGAAAATTGCTTTTTTTGACCCGGGGGGGCCCTTAATTGAATACATTCACCCAATGAATTTCATTTTACCTAACATATATTCAAAGTGCGTAATCTGTTATAGAAGGGATAAGTCATTTAGCGTCAGTCCACATACCAATATAAGAGGACTGCATAGGCATTGCACCATTGCTGTTCACCGATTTTGCTTACAAAAACCGTTGTACGGAACAAAACTTAATAATTAAACTTTTGATTTGTTTGTTTAAAGATGCTTATTCAGTACTAAAAGAACCAAGTTTCTATCTCATTTGTTGTCGAAATATGAACGAAGCAGAGTGATTTTGGTGCCGACTCTCTAAAGAAACAGGGTTTTTCCTCCATCCTGTTTAAAGATTACTGAATTATACTTTAATGGAATTTGTAGTGAAAAAAAAGCTTTTTCTAAGTCTTGATCTCTCAATAAAACCTCAATAAAAACCGCATCTGAATATACTATACAAGATTGTTTTCATACAATGTCCTACGTGATCTAAAAAAATAATTTTGTCTATAACTCGGTGATGAGTGATCCATTTGTGCTCAAACTATTGTACTTTTTTTCTTCTTGGACGATTAGTCTGTGATAAAAACATGAGCTCTTAGAAACACTTTTTTCCTGGGAAAAGCGCATAGTACATCAAAATGTGGAAATTTGTTTCTTTTTTCAATTTAATACGGAAAGGAAGAAACGACTCCGCTGTTGTTTTTTATGATCCGATAATTTATTTCCTTGCTTACGATATACTCAATTAGTGTTAAAATAAGAGGAAGTTGCATATTGATTATTGTTTGTTTTATTACTTATTATTTGTTGAAGAATGTCATTATTGTCATTTTGATTACGTTTAGGTGCAAAGTTTGATGATTCATCACTATTTTGATCATGTCTCTGTCGTTTCAATTTTTGTTTTTCTTTATATTATAACTGGGTCTGAAAGTTATCATGATTATCAGTAATATCTTTCGGATCCGTATTATGGTCCCCTGGATTGCAAAAGTTTAGATTACTAATAGAACTACAAACTCTGGTATTATTATCAGTTTCTGTATCCATAGTACAATAAGAGATAAAGAAGAGATAAAAAGTACGTGTATATATCAACTATAGTAATAAAACAAGAGCAAAAAAAGAAGAACACGTATTTACTATAGAATGTAAACGTGAAGTATAAGCAGGACATCCAGAAAGCGAGAGATGACAGTAGTACAGACAAGTATGTCGTATTTCTCCTTGCTTCTTCTTCTTTCCGTTTCATCTTTGTTTCGCATAGGAATGAAAAATCATTTTGTTGTGTTTATAATACTCTATTTGTACACTCCTTAAAAATGAAAATATAAATTTTTGAAACGTCAGAACAAATGAATATTTAAATGACTTTATATAAAGCTGCTGTGAAAATTTTATTTTTACTTTGTCTATTACCCGTCAATTATTACCCGTAACTCAAATGTTTATCTTGTCATTCTATGAAACTAAGGTGGATTCGATAAAATCAGTAACTACAATAAGCAATTTGAAACAAGTGCTTTTAGAAGAAAATGTCAACTTTGTTAAATTTTGAGCGAGGTATGTTGAGCGATGGACTGCATCCAAACTTGTTTGGTTGTCGTACAATATGTGGTAGTTTTTCTAATTGTTTATAACGAGTAGAAGCACGTAGAACGTAACTTCAGATAAATGTCTTTGGAGATACCATTTTTTATTTTTCCTTCATGGTGTTGACCTAGTCAAAGTTTTTGAATTAACTTTTTGTCAGTATCATTGTCAATTTAACATCTAGGACATGAGATAAATTTGATTTGATTGATTTAGTAAGAACGGTTAACAAGTGGAAAATAAACTATAGAAGAATCCATATGTTAAACGATATATGGTATTTCGCTTCCGGAAAATAATTGGTATCGAAGAGAAAATAAAATATTTAGATAAAGTAGAAAGTGACTAGGTCACATGGATGTCACAAGGTCATAATATACGGAAGTTTGTCATACCAACGTTCAAACATTTTTCACCACCTGTTAGAGGTCTCATTATACAAAAAACTCGTGTAATAAATGAGATAGATCTTTAGGCAGAACGGAAACGTCTTCTTTTCTTCTTAAAAAAATTCCGTATAAACATCTTCAAACGTTACCGGTACTGTTTAACAAGTGCACTCAGAATGGAGCCTTTTTTGAAAAATGTGAACATGCAAAAATAATTTGCCTTTCCAAAGATGAAATATACCCGGAGGTAAATAGAATGAGACCCATGTCGCTATTACTAAACATAGGCAAATGGTTTGAGCGCATTATTCACGAGTGAATAATGAAAGGGTGTGAACGGAAAGGAACACATATTGACGAACAATCGTGATTTAGCCCTGGTAGAAGATTACAAATAAAAATTCTATTACTATGTGAAGATTTAAGACTTACAACTGCTGCCTGTAATCGGCCAGCATTAGTTATCTTCGTCGATTTCTTATCTGCGTTTCTTACCTGCTTATCCTTAATAGAAAACCTATTAGAGCTTGATATATCACGTGATCTGCTTAGATAGATTTACGAATGGCTTCAATACCGATTCTTTTCTATTCACTATGGTGGTATAATGTCCCGTAACGTAAGAATGTATGTAGGCCATCCCAAGGCTCAGTTCTCACAGCAACATGATTTCGTCTTCATCTCCATTTTTTGACACAATGATTCTTTCGAGTAATATCACATCTTTTTGCAGATGATGTAGCTATTATTTGAAGTAGATCTCTCGAGAAGCGTTTTTCACACAGTATCGAAGATCCTGAAAAACTATGCACAAACTGAGTTAAAAGCATTAGAGAAATGCTCAGATGATAACATTCTACCTGTTAATGTTCCCAAAATGAGCTGTAGCTCTTAAGAAACCTCCGCACACATGTAAAGGACTTCTGATTGCTTTTGTGAAATATTTAGGTGTTGAAATTCGAACTAAAATGGATTGGAACGAATACATATTAGGACGATTAAGGAAAATACATAAAATTTACAATACACTAAGTGTAAGATTAACCAACAATTTGAATCTTACGTCCTAACTTTTTTCGCTCGAACTTCAGTTCTCCTCTAGCTATTCAGATTAGACAAGTTGTCATTATTATTGTTTTCAAAAAAATAGTTAAATCGTATAAGTTGTCTTAATATTGGGAGTTATTCGGAAGCTGTACAAACGAGCAAAGTCAGTAAACCTTCTCCTGAAGGGTTTAGAAAAATGAAACTATGCAGAACGGATAAGATTTTGAAGAGCTGCTAAATCCTCTCCTAAACCCTCTTTTATGAAAAGTCTTAAACCCTTATTCGTTCTGTACAGTTTCATTTTCCTAAACATCTTAAAGTTTTTTAAACTACGCTTTTGTTTAGAGTGTACTGTTACTTGTGCTCTGTTTCGTATCACCTTTCTTTTCTTTTCATCTTATTCCGTTCTATATACATATAGAGATAGACATCGAAGGATAGAAAATGCAAAACAAATAAATTTTACTTTTACGTCCAAATCTTCATACAGCATCCCTTACTCACGAGGAGAGGAGTGGACTGGTTTATACGCTTCATGTATTCTTGTTGATCTACGCGTGTATTAAAGAAAGAAAAAAAGCTAACAAGGACAAAATAGTGAATTTATTTTGCGAAAAATTAATGTTCTGGTTGGTACAAGCTTCTTGATGTCGCTGTATCTTTCAAATACACATTAAATTGGAACGAATCGATTTTGGTTGTTGACTATAGATAATCGAACAACGTTTGTTAACCTCTCTCGAGCAATTCAAACAAAAGTTAGTAGGAAAGGATGCATTCTAATAGCGAAAGCTACTCACTTGCTTCAAAAAGAACTGACAGCGTTGGTACATCCCTTGAAACTGAATCAGATTTTGTTTACGACGATGATCTATTAACTGATGTTCAAATGAAATTTTCTGCTGTTGAACAGAGTCCACATGAAGAAGTAGCGGCAAGTGTCCCTAATACAGATGATATAACAACCGTGAATAATTCAATTCGAATGTGGTTTCTTGGGGTTATTTTCGCGGGAGGATTGGCGGTTATTAATCAATTCTTCGATTTTCGAAGTAATCCGTTGGTAATAACAACGTTAATTACGCAAGTATTAGCGATGCCCGCTGGTAAGTTTCTGGAATATATATTACCAAAACGAATTTGGCGTATAGGAAAATGGCATTTTTCATTAAATCCCGGTCCATTCTCAATGAAAGAACATACAGTCATTACCATAATGTCGAATACAACGACTTTCAGTTTCGGTATGGAACTTATCGCGGCAATACACATGCATTTTAATCGAACACTTAATCATGGTGTTGCCTTATTTTTAATATTAACAGCACAAATAATGGGTTTTGGCATGGCAGGTAAACATGTTTGTTTCTTATTAAATAGGCAATGAAAAAGTAGGATATTTTAATGTCATGTATGTAAGAACATTTCCACGAAACCTATTTTCTTTTTTGACGCTAGGATCGATGCTCAAGAGTTAAAAATATCAAATGTTGATTATTGTCTAATGGAACTAGTTATTATAATGAATCTCACCGCTTATCCGAGATGGAAGTCCATCAGCGGCAGTGCTCTATGCGAGGAGCCTCTGTCACATCTTAAGGGCTTCTTGTTCCACGATTTTCTATAATGAAAAAGTCATAAAAAGCGTTACAAGACAAAGCATTGATGTCCCTGATATTCGCTGGTAATTAGTTCGTATTGATAACAGTAAGGAACAGTATAACTGAATGAGTACCGCTGAAGTAGAATTTTTTCTAGTACTTACTGATATGCCACGGTTAGAATATATCGTTATGCTTTACAACTTTCGCAATAGTAAACCCCCCTCAAAATCTTGTTTTTATTCGAATAGGCTTCTTGAGCAGAGCATATGGACAGCAAGAGCAAAGAATTTCTGATATTCCGGTCTGTAGATAAAGTTTTGTAACTGGACTGTTACCTTTTAAATCTTATGCAAAACGTATGTGCTTAATTTTTTAAACTTTTTGTTTTTCATAGAAAACCAGAATTAAATTGACTCCTTTTTGTAACAAAATAAATCTTATTATTTTTCTCATTCATAGGATTTTGTAGAGCTTGGAAAGTTGAATCTTTCGGTACCAAAGTGATTATTTTTATGGCTATGCTTACAAAACACTACTTTTCATGTGGCAGTCATATTTTTTGATTTACTATTTTGGACGTTTTCAAGAAAATATAACGATATATTCTAACCGATGCATATCATTAAATACTATACAAATTTCTGGGTCTTTTAAGCCTAGAATGGTTTTTAAAGTTAGTCTACAAAATTTAAAAAATCAAAATTTTCCTTCTTAAATTCGGAGGACTACAGTAAGGCGCCGGTAATTCGAAGTTGGAGCCAAATTTTATTTTTGACTTAAAAGCACATCACTAAATGCAGTTTTATCTGATGATCATGAACCTGACCTTTTTTTCCATTTTGACCGATTTTTCCAGGAGAACAACGCAAAATACTCCTAACTTCTCAAAAACGCCAAATACCTTAGGTTTAAAAATAAAACTGCGTTTTTCTCCTCGCCATTTCACTTTTCGATCTCATCAATGTGATTTTCAGATTCCGCATGTAAAAATGGATCTATACATGTAGTATAGAGCCTGATCACATATAACGAATCTGTTCTGGAAACTCATAAGACTGAATTACTCCATTAACGCAAACCTGTCTAGTTTGTTCGACCAAAACATAGTGTCTTCATTCTTACGCCATTCGAATCAACATTTCGTGCGCAACAAACTAATGTTTTATTTTTCTTAATATTACTTTTCTGTGCTAAGAAAGCCCAGTTTTCTGACAAATCAGTTTTTCATACTAACCAAAACCTTCTTTTGATGATTGTAGCCCGCAAATTTCTGATTAAAATGAGACATCTCCCAGCTCTATACGACCTTTCTTTACAAAGCTATAGAATTTACACGAAGAGCCCTAAATTAATTTCTTATTTCTGTGGCTTTGAGCTGCCAATGAACATTTAGGGCTTTTCTTGTAAATTCTATAGCTTTGCAAAGAAAGGTCGTATAGAGCTGGGAGATGTCTCATTTTAATCAGAAATTTGCGGGCTACAATC